AGTGATGACCGTGAAATGTCGATTCGCCGCCGTTCGCAGCAATTGAGCCTCTGTTACTCCACTACGTGGAAAATTTTGCGATAGGATTTGGGTGTAAAACCTTATAAGATACAGCTGGTGCAAGAATTGAAGCCACACGATCTCCCACAACGTTTCCAATTTGGTGAATGGGCGCTGGCAAAGTTGGGAGAAGATCCACATTTTTATCGAAAAATTGTGTTCAGCGACGAAGCTCATTTCTGGTTGAATGGGTACGTTAACAAGCAAAATTGCCGCATCTGGAGTGAAGACCAGATAGAAGCATTGCAAGAGCTACCAATGCATCCCGAAAAAATCACTGTTTGGTATGGATTATGGGCCGGTGGCATCATCGGGCCGTACTTCTTCAAAGACGACAATGGCCGGAACGTAACTGTGAATGGCGAGCGCTACCGTGAGATGATAACAAACTTTTTTTTGCTCAAAATGGAAGAGCTGGACTTGGCTGACATAAGGTTTCAACAAGACGGTGCCACATGCCACACCGCACACGAAACAATGGCCCTATTGAGAGGCGAGTTCGGTGAACAGTTTATCTTACGTTTCGGGCCCGTCAATTGGCCGCCTAGATCGTGTGATTTAACGCCGTTGGACTATTTCTTGTGGGGCCATGTTAAGGGATAAACCAGCAACGATTGACGCACTGGAAGCCAATATTGAAGCATTTATTCGTGAGATACCGGCAGATATGTTGGAGAGAGTGTGCCAAAATTGGACCTTGCGCATGGGCCCTCTAAAGCGGAGCCGCGGCCAACATTTACATGAAATAATCTTTATACATCAAATTATATAGACCGTTCTATCGACACAAATAATGATTTAATCGTTTTTTCAAATTTTTTGTGTTTTTTTTTTAAATCCAATTCTATACCTCTTAAAAAATCACCCGTTATAATACATGGTAACTAAAGCAAAAAAATGCAGTATTTTAAATGCAAACTAATGTTTTGGAAATAGGTAAGTTTTATAACAGGAGTATCCCCTTGACTAGTTTCCGAGCTAGCTCTCTCAGGTTAATCATGCCCGTCTCCCCCGCGCAAGTCCTCCTCAACGTCTTACCTTACTACCTGCCTTCCGTTGCACTTGGTACTCTGACCTCTGACACGCACTCCCACATGGTCGCGCTTTTGCCGAACCTCTTCACCTTTTACAGAGCGAAGTAAGATCATCGAATTTTGTCTTCGCTATATTCCGTGGAGCACTGTTTAAATTATCAACCTTAATATTACCTACTTTAGCGTAGAGATATGGTTTCGGTTCCCTTGATTTTCTTAACTGCATACAAACATCATGTCATCCATAATCGAGTTCTTGTTCTGGCCAAAACAACCATCTGAATATAGAACTACAGATTTTACACCTTTTGCTGAGTAATACCTGATGCTTTTGAACACACAACTAGATACTACATATACGCCACTTTACGTGATTCGATACTGCACCAATAATTATTTTTCAAAAACTGTCGTAAATCAAGTTACGTCGTTTAGTGTGATTTAAAAACGAAATTTTGTTAGATGTATCATTTATCTTCTTTGCTATTGCTCAAAGGTTTTTGCTCATACAATTACGTCACTTTGTGGGAACTTGCAGCAGTTCAAAGTAAGTTTTGGGACGGCGTAACTCAATTTTTGGATTTTTGTTAGTTACGACACTATGTATGGAAGGCGACGATTTATTGTCTTGTAGATCATAAAAATGACATAAGACTCGTCCGAAGAGGAGGTACATAGTACACATCATTAAAAGTAAAACAAAACAAACACAGGTATTTACAAAGTACAAACAGGAACAACTTAACGCATACAGACATTCACATATAAAATAAGTTTTAAAAATATATCACAGCAGACAAAGAGTAGAATCATTTTTCAACTAATAATTTTCGTAGTTGACATTTAAAACTAGCAGTGCTACTGACATTCCTGAGGTTAGCTGAAAGTTTGTTATATATTCTAATGCAGGTGTATTGCGATGACTTTTCAAACAGCGTCAGTGTGTGTGTCTTTTGGAATACCTAGACTCACCTGCCCTTGTATTATAGTGTGTGTTGTGGTTTTTGTTCTATATACGTTTCTGTTTTGTTTGTATGTGTGAAAACAGCGTACTTATATACCGAACACCCAGTTTAAATGGTTTTATTTCAATAAAAGTTGGTGAATGTATTTATCTTACTGTAAATAACAAGTGAAAAAAATGTCAGCCTTATCAGTTGGACATTCCGGTTTTTATACTGCTTTTTTTTAATTCACTAACGCTCTAAAAATGAATATTTCGACCGCAGTAAAGAATCAACGTTGGCGGATTTTGGTTCTTGACATCCTTTACGATCGGTTACGATGCCTGGAGTACGGAGACCTGTACGATTTCGTCAACTTATTGAGATTGATAAGGGCCGTATAGTGGGACTTCGGGAAGCTGGACTTTCTTTTCGGGCAATTGCAGTTAGAGGGCAAAGAAGTGTAGACACTGTGGTTAGGTGTTGTCAGGCATGGCTTCGAGAAGGCCGTACGCAAAGAGCAAGGGGCACTGGACGCCGCCGTAGAACAACAGACCGTGAAGATCGCCGCCTAAGATTATTGGCCTTAAGGGACCGTTTCTCCACTACCATTGCAAATGAATGGGCTGCAGAACACGGAAGACCTATTGGCATGCGAAGTGTTTACCGACGAATGAGAAGTTTTGGCTTGTTTTCATACCGGCCACACTGGGTCCTCCCTTGAACTCGAGAACACCGACATAATCGCCTTGAGTGGTGCAGACAACGGTCACTCTGATATCAGGAATGGAACAGTATTATCTTTAGTGACGAGTCTCGACTTTGTTTTGGCATGCACGATGGTCGTGCCAGGGTTAGAAGGCGACGTGGTGAAAGGAGGAATCCACAGTTTTTTGTTGAAAGACATGTTCATCACACTGTTGGAGTTATGGTTTGGGGTGCTATAGCTTATGGTTCCAGGTCACCTTTAATCTTCATCAGAGGTAACATGAACGCGCAGCGTTATATCCACGAAGTTCTAGAACCCCATCTTTTACCCTATCTTGACACCCTGGCAGATCCAACTTTACAACAGGATAATGCCCGACCACATGTTGCAAGAGTCACAATAGACTTCTTTCAACATAATGATGTCATATTGTTACCATGGCCACCAAGATCTCCCGACTTATCCCCAATTGAGCACGTGTGGGATATGATGGGTAGGAGTTTGCTCAATTTGCAACGTCTTCCTCAGACTCTAGAAGCACTTCGAGAGGAGTTGGTGGTTGCCTGGAATGAGATACCACAGGAGGACATTGACCACCTGATCAGAAGCATGCCTAGGCGCGTTGGAGAATGCGTAGCACATCAGGGTGCATCCACACATTATTAAAGGTCAACGGGCTTTAAAGAAGTGCAACCATTTTGAAATTTTTTTCATTTACTTATTATGCTTCATTAAGTACTTATACAAAATTTTATTAAAATAAAACCATTTAAACTGGGTGTTCGGATTTATATGTCACTTAGTATAAATATGAATGCGTAGTAGAGTCATGATGTTCTTACTTCCGAAGATCTCTCTGCAGGATTCTCTTCTATGGATGTTGAATATCAATCTGGTTATTCTCTTCTGTTGAATAGATGCTCTAGAAATTGAAGTTGGTTGACCCCAAGTTGTGATAACTCTGAATTGATGAGAGCATAATACACATCTATCTTTGTACTTCAGCTCCTGTGTTAGGTTCTCTATCTTGCAGTTTAATGACATTATTGTGCTACTCAGTTCTTCGTTCTTCGTCAGCTCAGTGGCTAATTTATTTCTGACGTCTAATAGTAAATTTTCCTGGGTATTTGAGTTTTCTTGAGCTTCACTGTCGATTTAAATGTGAATGTAGCTGTTGTTGTGCGATTTACTAATCTTCTCAGTTACTGTTTTCTTCAATTTTGCCTGCTGTCGTGTATTAATTTTCCTCTTACTGGACTTGTCACGATTTTTCCGAATACTTGGCAACATGCTTCATTGCCTGTCGTCTGTTTAAGATTTTTACGACCTTGGAATCCTTAATATAATAATGGCATTACCAATGTTTCATCCGGTTGTGGTGTTCTACACTAGCAACTCATGACACTTAGTAATTTTTTTATTCTACTGCATAATATATTATTTCTCGAACTAGTCATTGGTTAAGGTCAAGTCACACTCAGCCGTGACGTGACAGTGCCAGTAATTCTCGTTGACGTGAACTCACAGTGTTTTCAATTCACACCAGTCAGTATTTTTCTCCGTACTCTGACGGTGCAGTTGTATTCACGTGAGGTCGAAATGGCAAAATTTTCAGAGGATGAACTTGCAATTATTGCATCAATTCTGGATGAAGAAGAAACGAGAAGAAAACGGAAGTCCATGTATTTTGAATTTGACTAGTTCCACAGCATGGGATGTGCGGTCACAAATTCACGAAATTATATAAAAACACGGCCGTGAAAATCGAAAAATATCGTTCCAAAACAATGCGATGATCACGGTACGGCGGACGTAGAGGGGCACTGAGAACACGGTCACTTCCACGTGCCGGTCTAGTATGAGTTCATCCAAATTAGAGGAAGAATATTTTTAGTTTCGCCGGGCGAATCACATGCCGGTCAAAGCACTGTCACGCCACGGTTGAGTATGAATAGGCCTTTATGCGTCAAAGAAGAGAAAATATAGGTATACGTATTAGCCCGATTTTCTAAAAAATGGTGAATGTAACTAGCTTTTAAAAAAACGGTGGATGCTGCTTCGTGGATGTAGTCTGATATTCAAGAAAATTCTGTGAAATAAGTTTCATTCCCATATAGAAGTGTTAAAATATTATGATTATATTTGTATAAATCAATAAATTCTAGGTGAACATTTAAGCAGAACCATAAGAATGCTCGATAAAGTTGATGTCGTATAGCGATTGCTTTTTACTATGGCTTTTGAGCATTGACAATGTTAACCATAATCCTGTTTACTTTTTATTGCAGGTATGGTAGCCCGCATCACAATAGATCTCAATCGGTGAAAACGCCCAGAACTTCCGGGAGACCGAATTACCTTTGTCTGCCTCAACAAAGGTCAAGGGTTGCTTCGATGCCAAATACGGGGGTGGAGGAAGAATATTACAGGTAACAACACCTTGCTTATGGAATCTTGCCAGTCGAAGGAAGCTCTCCGGAAGATAATTTTAAAAAATGTGTATCGATTTATATCCACTATATAAAAAAATATTAACATCTCCACATTTCTTAAAAAGTCAAACTCATTTCTCTGATTTGATAGTATCTAATGTAGCTTAATGGAACTTATCTAGTGGCTGTTTCCCTGATCAATACCAATACCGTTTCGCAGGCAAAACCAAAAATTAATGTTAGATGACTTACTTTACAGTGTATCCGCTGACCTTTACAATGACAAATTTTATGTCAGTCAACGAATTTAGGATAGATAGAAGAGCAAGTCTATGGTTTGTTTGTTTCCAAAATATTGTTACAGTTTATTTTTATGGTCGGCTAACAATTAACTATATCATCATAAAGTGAATTGTTACAATGTTTCTTATTTAGTATAATAATTTTATAGTAGTTTTTAAAAAAATCGAATTTTATTTTTACAACAAAACACTTCTCATGGTCTAATAATTATATGGTAGAAAATCGTATTCTACTCTCCATCTCGTTAAAGGTCATTTTTTATAATTTCTATCTACCGTAAATACAAGAGCTGAAGGTGACTTGGGGCTATTTCCGTTGCTCTCGTGTGGCAGTACAATGCCGCAACCCGATTTGGTGAGAAATTTCACACGCAGTTCTGCGGTTTTACCGGGTTGTGGAGATTTTGAAAGAAATCAGCCTCCGTTAGTGAATTTCTTATGTCGGAGCCATTTTCTCACCCTCTTGGGGATTTAGCCGTTGTCACAACTACACTAAGCCATCAAGCTAAGGGGAATTCTTTGCATTGATACCTCGAGGTGATCTTTGAGTAGGATCCACGCCTGTGAGGAACAGTCCCCCATTTCTGTGAACCTCATTGTTCGAGGGTTCTACCTTTGGGTATTGAGTTACATCTGGGACTTCCTGCCTTCGGTCGCCTACCGGTACCGGCTGCCAAGCACTTGCCTATGTGTTTTTTTTATTTTAATATTTACTGGAAACCATTTAGTGGGGGGTAGTACAAAATAGCTTTCATTTGCTTGTCCTCCAGAACTTTTATTTTTTTTATTTATTTTGTGCAATAAATGTTTGTGTACCTTTTGAGTTTGTATATGGTTTAGCGCCAGAGACCCAAAATTGCTTGATTGCTATTTGTTTTCCTAGTGCTTGGAAGTAGGTGGCGCCCAAACCACAACCATCTGCATCCAAAATCCAAAGTACAAAGGGCCACCCTCTGAGGGATCATTAGCTACGACTGAGCACATTTGTGCGAGATAACGACATCATAGTCTATAGTCAGAATGAGAATGTTCATACTACAAGTCGATCAGGCTTAAGCCGCCAGAAGTTTGACAGTTGTTCACATTTCACTTGAAATTCGTATTTTTCTGCAAAAACGTATTAAAGTGCGTCGGTACAAAGTCCTATCGTTCCAGACAATTGTCGAAAATGGTGAAGATTTCTGTATTGGACTTTTACCTGGACAGCTGTGAGTCAATTATGATTGATTTCAGTCCATTTTCTATTTGCTTGAGTGATTGGCATGGGTATCATGTAAAAAACCTATAAAACGTCAAAAAAACCTATAAGATGTCATCTTGCAAACTAGGTAGTTTTTAGGGCGCAAACAGTCATTCCAAGTTTGCTCACTAGGAGCGTTGTGAACGTCCATCTAAGGAGGAATCACTCAACTAAACTAAACACATTATTGGTTGCATATGTTTTGTGAGGCCGAATGGTCCTTGTCTGTAGTTTTTATCTCTGAGAAGAAAGTTGGTTGAATAGCAAGATCGCATCTGGATGATTATGTGTATTGATCTGCATGTGTATAAACTCAGTGATATTTGTTGTGTGAGAAAATCATTACTGAATATGCCGCCAATGAAGTATATCTATTGGCTGTGCCCGACGGGTGATTTTTATGTTGAGCTTTCTGAAGAGAGGTTATGTGCAAAGTTACAAAGTACGAAAAACTGAGGAGAATTACGGGCAATCATCACCGCGCCCGCGTTGTGTCTAATTACTGTTAACATGTATATGGCTTGTAATTCGACAGTGTACAGTGAATATAATTATTTCTTATCTCTCTCATTTCTGAAATTCAGCAAATTTGTATATTTAATTTCCAGAATGGATAAGTAAAAGTGGATGTGCAACTAATTTCTAGCTTTAAATCTCAATTAAGTGTGTTTGAGACAAGAACCCAATGTAATTATCATCAGCACATACAACCTACAGCTTAAACCTCCAGTAATGCCATCTCGGAAGCAGTTTTTACATCACATCAGAGCCAAAGATTGATAACAAGCCTCATAACGTTAAGGCAACACGTACAACTAAGTGCTAAGTTAATATCTTGTAGAAAAACCTACATAATGTCAAAATAAAACAGCACAAAATCAAAAAAAAATCGGCATAATGTCACTTTTCAAGATACGTGATACCCTTGCAGTCCGAATCTAAGCTTGGTTAACAAGATTGCCTATCTACAACAGTATTGAAAAATGAAAAGTATTGCAGACAAACCAAATCATTTTAGGTCCAACTGAAACTTTAGCTTTGAGTCCTATCTACTTTAATTTTAAATATAGAAGCTTTTAGGAAAGGTCTTTGATTTCACGCTTTAAACAATAATTTTCTCATTTGTCTCCCGTTTCTCATTTTATTGTCACGAGTTTCTAATGGCTCAGTAGGCTCCAAAAAAACTATGACTATCAAATTAATTAAAAATTACTTGCTAATCTTTTGATTGGATAAATATAGTGTCAATAATAAAATAGTAGTAACTTTCACACAATGGTCAACTAGGTATTTCTTTTTGGCTAAAAATCTACATCACCATTCAGCAAAAGGGAGTGGAATTCAAGCAAGCTGCCCATTTACCAAATTTTTCATATTTTTTTCTTTCCAAAATTATTAGCGAAATAAGTTCATATGCCATCAATAAATATTTACTTTCTTTTTTGTTTAATTTATCCATATTGATTAACAACGACACCGCAATACAGATAGTATTTCTGCACTACTGAACGTGAGTACACACAGTACGATTGGCTACTTGAATAAAACTCCAGAAAAAAATGTATGCTTGCCATTTCGGTGAGCAATGGTAGACAATTGAGCCAAAAGTATTCACTAAAACTACACAAATCCGACGACATACAATGCAATGTGAACATGTAGACTTGTCACCTTCTAACGATTATCAAAATCGTTGGTGTCGGTAAATTCTACTCAAAGCTCTGGTAGCCCATACTGGTGCGTCTGCCATTTCCGTTTCGCCACCCAGAGGCGTATTTACCTTAGCGCAAAAAGGGCCTGAGGCGGTGGGCTGCGAGGGGAGCCACCACAATCATTTTTCCATTTCTTTAAGAGGCGGCCGACGGTGAGAGGCCCAAGGCCGATATTCCCGTTCTGCAAAACGCAGAGCTTTTCATGTCGCTCAGTCTACATGCAAAAAATCAGTTTTATATCTAGGGTATTGGGTCTTATTGAAACAAATTTGTGATAACCCTAATAGCTTTTAAAAAATAATTCCGTTTTTCACTAAACTAAACAGTGATGCTTTTATTATAAAATATTGGTTCATTAACTACCCATTATGAGGTTAATAAATAAAGCTACATTAACTGTCCTTCAGTTACTGTAGTATAAAGAAGCTTATATGTACACAGAAATCATACTGTACGAGGGATGTCTTTTAAGTTTTGCATATGGAAATAAAACAACACGGTAGGTAGTTTTAAATGACTTTATTGTTTTTCGAAGTATTCTCCACGAAGATTAATACACAGCTGCATGCGCTCGAACCAATTTTCTAAGCACTTATTCCACTCGTTTGCTGACAGATCCAAAACGGCATTTCTGAATGCGTCATCTGCTTCTTCTGGTGACTGGAACCTTTGACCACGCAGTCTGTTTTTAATTTTCGGGAAAGTGAAGAAATCGTTAGGACTTAGATTGGGACTATATGGAGGATGGTCCAATAATTCCACGTTTTCTTCCGTCAAATACTGCCTTGTTTTTTGGGCTGTGTGCGAGCTTGCATTGTCTTGGTTGGAGGATGATTCTTCTTTCGGGGTTGATTTTTCAAAGCTCGGTGATGACTTATAGCACACAAATGGTGGTATACCAATCTGCAGTAACAGTTCTTTGCTGATTAAGAGGAATTGTTGCAATATGACCCGCTTTTTTCACAAATGTCGCGATCACCTTTTTCGAAACACTTCGAGAACGGATGACTTTTTTTGGCTTTTCTTCACCTTGTAACACCCAAACAGCCGACTGTCGTTTATTTTCTGGTTCATAACAGTAAATCCACGATTCATCACCACTAACAATGCTGTACACATTTTTTGAGTTTCTGGAATTGAAACGGTCAAGCGCTTTTTGACACCAATTAACCCTGGCTGCTTTCTGCTCTTCAGTCAACAGGTGGGGTATCCAACGAGAAACTAATTTTCTTACTCCTAATTCTTCATGTAAAATTTTTTGAATTGAGGTCTTTGAGATCTTCAAGGACGCCTCAATCTCGCGATATGTCACATGTCTATCTTCAATGATGAGTTTGCGCACAGCTTCGACGTTTTCCTGGGTGACTGCCGTTTTTTGTGCACCCACCCTGGGATCGTCGCTAAGACTCACCCGTCCACGTTTGAATTCTCCATACCAACGGGAAATTGTCGACTGATGTGGCGCTTCGTTGCCGAAAACAGACAGTAACTCAGCAAGGCATTCTTGTTGCGATAATTGTCTCTGTTGTAATAAATTACGGCGGTTGAGTTCCATTTTTCTAATGACTTGGTGACACTTAAAAATTCACTGTAGTGAGAACACTGCACGTATTGTTGTAAAACTTTGAATGTAAGTTTACTAAAGAGTGAGGTTAAGATTCAGTACTGACGTTCGATCCGCGCGGTTTACTATGTTTCTATATGCAAAACTTAAAACCAGCCATCTCTCTTAACTGAGTGTATATTGGTAACATTGAAAAACGCACCGTTGCCAAGAACGGATTTGAAGCGTTCGCACAGCAAAATGAATACCTAAACAAAACGCTTCACGCTTTCAACCTGAAGAGCGAGAATGTTAGAAACAGCAACTGTTTCCACCGTTTGAAATCTATGACATTCTGTAATGCGAAATAATATTTTTTTTCAGGTTGAGGCATTTCTCCATAACAGGAAAAGGAGTAGTTAACCGAGGGGATAGCTTGAAGAGTCGTAGGTCGAGATCAAACAACTCGGTGGCTTCTAGTAATTCTAGGTAAGTTATTTATACTTGTTAATGGTAAATAGTAGTTGGTATCAGTGATCTGGGAAAAGCTAAGCCTGACAACTAGGCCACCCTCGGTCCTTTTTGGCGATCCAGAACACTAACACTACAACTAACAATACAACTTATCTAAATCTTGATGTCGAAAACCTGCTAAACATTCAAGTGAAGTTCTCGATATCGGACCAGTCTACTTAATAGATCTCAACTTCCGGTTTAGTACGCGACAAATTTACGTACTACTATGTGTAGCATTTGTAATGTAAGTAAACACTTTTGACCTAACGAAAATTGTATAACGAACGAAAATTTGGAATTGGATTATTGGAATATTATTATTTAGCACGATGAAAAGTTTTGGACCCTATCATACGCAGGACCTGACGAATTTTGAAAAACGTTTTGTTTTCTGATTTTTCTGTTGCTGTCCGGTAAATGTTATGTATAGAAAAAAGTTGTTAGGACAATTTTGTGGCTCAAGGAATAATCTTCAAAAGTTGACCATAAGATATTTTTAAAAATTTATAAATTTTTTAAGAATTTATGGGTGGAAAAATGTATTTCAAAGTGAGCAAAAAATGTTTGCGAGGTCAAGTGCTATTCTAGGCCATACATTTTTCAAAATCAACATAACGGAAAGCTCTTGTTAATTTTTATTTTTTATTTGTTGTAGGATAATAATTATTGTACTAAAGATCAAAAATATTTCCAGAAAAGAAAATATAGCACACTTTTTTTAGTCATCAAGCAAATTTTACTGACATTGTTTAACCAAATCTTTAAGAAAAGTAGACGTAAAACCTCAATAACAACAACAAGAAGAGGTGGAGGTATACTTCATTGAACAGTTTTTCTTTACACGTCGTGTTATTTAAGTTATATCTATATCTCGTGATCAGTTACGAAAGATAACTATATTTTTGTGAAAACTGCAAAGCGTTTTTCATTGTGAACAGTTTCGGGTGAATTAAAGGATATGTTTGAGAATAGTTTCTAAAAATATTGTACTTACTCAGATTATAATAAAAAGAATCCGCAATGACGCAGAAAAAACATGCGGTTTGGAGTCAAAAACGGTACCCTCCACAATGCCCCCCAAATATAATTACTGGTTTTGAGAGTAGCAGCTGTCAGTTATCTGACTTGTAGACTGAAGGCACCAGTTCAATTCCTGACCGCAGCAACTATTTCTCCCAAGTTTTGTGGTCCTTAAGTGGTAGCGTTGCCAATATTTTAAAGGTATCAATACTATTTTACAATTTATATTCCGCATTTGAGTTAACGCGAGCGCTTAGCGATTCCGATTGCACTGAGCTGAGATTTCTTTGAAACAATGCTATTCCAACACCCCACCCCTTAAGCCTTGAGTTGAGATCTGAAGAGCGGAATCGAAGTACAGCTCTAAGAAAATTGATCCTACTTCATAAGCGAATGTAGATATAAAAATATCACAGATACAGCTTTCATCAAGCTACAAAATTTATATCAACAACATTTTTCTGTATATAATATTTAGAGTACGATAACAAAAAAAAGTTTTTCAAAAATTTTCCAGTATCTATTTATAGGGTGTTTCAGTTTATTGTTGCATAACTTTAAGATTCGATACAACTTTTAAAATTAATGCATAAAGTCTATACAAACATGGGTCGAAAAATTCGTGGCTTCCGAATGTTGTGATTAAATTTACTTTCTAAAATAGTTTTTTTTAAATATTTCGAACAATATTTGATGTATAACAGTGAAAATTGGTATACAAGGGTTTTTTGGTACGACAAAACGAACCATGGTCATACTTTTACTGTAGAGAGGGCGCTCTCTACTGTACCTGTAGTGTATTAAAATGACCTAAAAATTTTTCTTAGTGCAATTTTTTGCTTTTTGAATAAAAAAACTCATTCTTCGCACTTTTCAACATAAAAAAGCTCTCCTGTGAGTTTTCGTTATAGTTAGCCGTTTTTGAGATATTTCGATTTTTAAGGTTCGATGCATTTTTAATTATTTATGGGAAAATAACGTTAAAAAGTCAGTATCTCGATAATTTTTAGAAGTAGGCTGTGCCTGCAAATATTTTTTAAATTGAAAGCAGAATAAGTTTAAACGTTAATTAGTTGACAGTTAGTTTTGTTGTCTGTTGAAACCTGCAACGTTTTTTTGCAATTGTGAATGCACGAAATTTAGTTTCTTTTACCTGTGTTTTTTGTAAATTTTATAAAAATGCCATTTTTATTCTCCAATCAAGAGTTAGCGGATATTCATTTTGTGTATGGCTTTGGAAATGGAAACGCAGCAGAAGCAGCCAGAGAATACGCACGAAGATTTCCAAACAGACGACATCCAACTCGCTCAGTATTTATAAGAGTGCATCGCCAAATAATTGAAAATGGTTTTGGAAATCTCCAAAGGGATCAAAACATAAATGTCCGTCAGCGCAGATTTACCCGTATGATTCTGCGAGAGATCCGACCACAAGTGTTAGGAGAGTTTCTGGTGCCTTGGGAATTTCAGCAAGCCATGTTCACCGTGTTCTTAGAATTGACCATAGACGTCCTTACCATTTGCAACCTGTGCAAGGACTACAGCCAGGGGACGGAGAACGAAGAATCACATTTTGTCGGTGGATTCTTGATAGAACTGATAATAATAGGGAGTTTTTAAGTAACGTTTTATGGACCGATGAGTCATGCTTCACTAGACGTGGAGTGGTAAATTTTCATAATCAACATATTTGGTCGCATGAAACTCCGCATGAAGTTCGGGAAATAAATTTTCAGCATGAATTTAGTGTGAACGTGTGGATTGGTATCTACCGTAATCGACTATTTGGACCCTACCTTTTGCCTGCAAGGTTAAATGCTGCGACCTTCTTGGAATTTTTAAAGGATGAACATGCAAATATGTTGGATGATGTTATGTTAGATTTAAGAAGATTGGCCTGGTTCCAGCTTGATGGTTGCCCAGCTCATTATTCGAGAATAGTTAGAAACTGGCTGGACGCCTGGCCTCCACGATCCCCTGACCTAAATCTAACCACAAGAGATATGCTAATAGATAGAATCAGGCATGCATGTGATGAAATAAGGCCTTATTTGAATAATGCTATACCAAGTTCGATCATTCGTAGATGTGAATTGTGTATTGAACAATTCGGTTTACATTTCGAGCAACTACTTTAGATTTTGCATGTTTGTCCTAACTATCCAATAGCATTTCAGTTGTAAATAATTAATTTAATTTGTTAAAAATAATATTTGAAAATTAAACAAATTAATATTCTGTTTTTTGTGTTTATTTGGAGTTAGGAATTATTGCTGTGTTTAAAAACACAATCTAAACGATCATCTTAATTACTTGTAATGCCCAAATCGAAAATGTAAAAAAAAATATTATTTTCCCATAAATAATTAAAAATGCATCGAACCTTAAAAATCGAAATATCTCAAACACGGCTAACTATAACGAAAACTCACAGGAGAGCTTTTTTATGTTGAAAAGTGCGAAGAATGAGTGTTTTATTCAAAAAGCAAAAAATTGCACTAAGAAAAATTTTTCGGTCATTTTAATACACTACAGGTACAGTAGAGAGCGCCCTCTAGCGGCTACAGTAAAAATATGCCCATGGTTCGTTTTCTCGTACCAAAAAACCCTTGTATACCAATTTTCACTGTTATACATCAAATATTGTTCGAAATATTTAAAAAAAAACTATTTTAGAAAGTAAATTTAAACACCCTGTATTTCGGAAGCCACGCATTTTTCGACCCATGTTTATATAGACTTTATGCATTAATTTTAAAAGTTCTATCGAATCATAAAGTTATGCAACAATAAACTGAAACACCCTGTATATTATGCTAAACAAGACTACTTCAGTTACCTGAATCCAAATTTTAATCCATTATAGACCCATAGCAAGTTTTTGGGAAAATACACCATTTTATACCCTTCACGGCAGTAACTTGAAAAGTGACATTATATGGGTTTTTTGACAATATGTAGGTTTTTTATGACCTTATATAGGTTTTCCTACAACTTTAAACTACCTGTCGTTCACTTCATACACACTTGTCGTAAGCACCTGAAACGATTTGCGCACTAGCTTACTTAGTCAACTTGTTGACATTTTATCGGTTTTTGATATAATGTAGGTTTTTTACGTAAAAACCCTGCGGGCCATATACTCGTAGGATATTTTTCTATCCACATAATAGTCAGGACAAGAGAAAACAACTTCTGTCCAAAAGCTACAGCTTCCACCATGCCTGGACTAATTTCGTATTTGTTTTTTTGCGTTTTAGTAAAGAAACAATTTGTGTAGTGAATCAGTAACTAAAGAGATTGCGCTTTTACGTACAGAATCAATTAATCCACAACATGCTTTAACTAAATCGATTTACGCGCCAACGCTGGCTTGCAGCGAGCGCGTTTTAAAATGCATATTAAGCTTTACTGCCGTCGTTTTCTCTTTTTTCTAAATAAATATGCAGTGACGGCAAAAACCTTTTGTTGAGTAAATATCTTGATAGTGAAAATGGAGAAAATAGCGTTTTTTATGAAGGTGCCGTCGTTCGAAATTGTTGAGCTGGCTTGCAGAATATACTATGCTTTATATTTTGGATAGGACAAGTTCGCATCCTGACAGGGTGACAAAATTGATTCGTAAATACTGTATTTTAACGTAACAGTGACAATTGAAAGTTACAAAACTGGGTAATTTGGAATCGGTCATAACTCAACAACGAAAACGATAGTATGTTATGTCATTGTTCTTCGTTTTGGAAGGATTTATCTGAATGTACAACGTATCATGGGACATCGTTCTAAAAACACTGACAGATTTTGGCAAATTTTTTAATAGAATGGTTCATATTTTACCACAGGTATGGATAGATTGTTCCAAGGAAAAAACTTTGACATAAAACATTTTGATGATTTGTTGTTGAGTTAGAAGCTATTTAATGTACAGAACGCTCAAGTTTGATAGCCTACCAGTCC